CTGGGTGGGGTTAAAAGGGGAGGGTTGTAAAAGGTAGCAGACAAAAGATCTGCAGCTTTTGCAAACTGTTTTTAGATATACTCACAGTGAAAAAATATACAACATGGATGCATGTTTTCATTTGAGGAAAATCTACGAAATAGTGATTTTTTTTTTTTAGTTGGGCTGTGGAGTGTTCCTTTAAATAGTTTGACATTAAATGGGGGATTGATGCCATCACATTGTAGGAAACATAACTACTAGAGTGAGCTTCTGTGGTTATGTAGCTTCCAGTGCCCCTTTAATATAATAGTATATTATTCATATCTCTGAAACATTACATGTATTTATTCTTAAGATTGTAGATATTTAATTTATTCACTGTAATTCGAAGATCAAACTAGTGATTTCACATTCCATAAACAATCAAAAAGTAGAAAAATATAGAATTCCTCATAAACACAAACCAGGGTGGTAGAATATTTCTATATATGTTATGAGTGGGGTTAAATATGTTTTGCAAGAAGTGAGTCTTGTATTTAGAAAGCAGCAGGACTCTTCTATTTTAAGGAAAATGAAATAAATCATTTTTTCAGAGTTTGTTACTTGGTTTATTTTTGCTGAATGGCTACATACACGTCTATTTATGCCTCTGACTTAATACCTCCATTAGTGTACAGTAAGTTAGTACATTATAAAACTGTTTATTTCACGCTGGTGAGTAAGTGGCGTGTTTTTACGTTTTGTTTGCTTTCGGTTCTGATGTTAGTTATAGGGTTTAAAAACTTAACATGACCAAAGGGCCTGTCATGAGCCATTGGCACATATAGGTAGAATGTACACAATTCTGGCTGGAATACTGTAGACCTGAAGAAAGAACCTGTGTGATCAAACTCCTCTCATTAGTCAAAAGCTCCTACACAAGCACAATGCCCCAGTCTGTGTTCCAGGAGTAACATGGCAAATTCTGTGAACACAGTCCCAGCTTTGGAAATTGCATTGCATGGGGAAATCATGGCTCGGCTAGCTCTATAATGTCTCTTTGACAGAAAAACAGACAGAAAAAAAACACAAAATCCCCTTCATCACAATTTTTTTATGTTTTTTTACAAAATGGGACATGGTGTAGCTCAGGAGTAGGCAACTTTCGGCACCTGAGATATTGTGGACTACATCTCCCATAATTCTCATAAAGCCATAATGCTTGCAAAGAAGCAGGGCAGATGTAGTCCACAACATTTAGAGTTCCGCAAGTCCCCTGGTATAGCCAGGGCCGGATTAAGAGCACAGTGGGCCTGGTGCTGACAATTATGATGGGCCTAATTACGTAATCTTATCGACCAAAAACACTAAAACAATCATACCTCATGTATCTGATGGAGATGGTGCTGGAGGGAAACTCATAGGATGCAGCTATAAGTAAACACATACTCTATGCTAATTTCTCTCTAATTTATGCTTTCATCTTTCAAGTAAATCCATAAGCCCTAACAGCAGTGTCCAGTGAAGCAGGAAGTCAATGGGCGGGGTAAAAGGGTGTGCCACTGGCGCGAATCACGTGACAAGACCTGCCAAAAGGGGTGAACATGCCCAAAAAGGGGAACGTTTGTCCAAAGAATTGGAAGGTCAGCCTGGCATGAATGCATGTCAGGCTGCCTGCCAATCCTGCAGGCTGTCCAACTAAGGGCATACTATGCAGGCAGCACTTTGAGCTTGACATAAATGCGTCTAATGATGCACTCACTCCATTCTTTCTAAGGACTGTACCCTAGCACTCGCTGGTCCACTTGTCTCCTTACCTTCTTACTAGCAGGCAGAAGTTCCTGGTATATAGTCTGAGACAGAGAAAAGATGTCTGTAGTGAGTGTAGAAGAAAGGGGACATGCCACAATGTTAGAGAGATCAACGTCTGCATTACCTAAACTAACTTTAATGTCAGCAAGTGCACACAAGTTTTGTTCCCATACATCCCTCTTAAGCTTCCAAACTTAAAGGGACACTATAGTCACCAGATCAACTACAGCTTATTGTATTTGTTCTGGTAAGTAGAATCATTTCATTCAGGCTTTTTGCAGTAAACACTGTCTTTTCAGAGAAAATAACTCCACTGGCTGCTCCTTAGATGGCTGCTAGAGGTGCTTCCTGGGGCAGTACTGCCTAGTGTGTAGCACTGCCATTCAGTGTCTCCACCCTTTGCATGCAGACACTGAACTTTCCTCATAGAGATGCATTGATTCAATTTATCTTTATGAGGAGATGCTGATTGGCCAGGGCTATGTTGGACTTGTGCTGGCTCTGCCCCTGATCTGCCTAGTTGACAGTCTCAGCCAATCCTATGAGGAAGTATTGTAATTTGCTCAGACCACCACTTCTGAGCCAGCAGCTGCAGAATTGAATACAAGTAATATTTTACTATATTTAGGGAGGCAAGAAGGGGCCAGGGTGGTGGTTTTAACATAATAGGGTCAGAAATACATGATTGTTTTCCTGACCCTCTAGTGCTCTTTTAAGCAAGAGTATGTGAAGAGTAGTTAAGGTTGCCACCTTTCTTGGAAAAAAATACCAGCCTTAAAGGACCACTATAGTGCCCGCCCGGCTCTGGAAAGGGGAAAGAGGTTAAAACTTACCTTTTTCCAGCGCTGGGCGGAGAGCTCTCCTCCTCCGATCCTCCTCTTCTCCTCCCATGCGACTGAATGCGCGCGCATTCAGCCGGTCACATAGGAAAGCATTCATAATGCTTTCCTATGGACGCTGGCGTGCTCTCACTGTGAAAATCACAGTGTGAAGCACGCAAGCGCCTCTAGTGGCTGTCAATGAGACAGCCACTAGAGGAAATAGGGGAAGGCTTAACCCATTCACAAACATAGCAGTTTCTCTGAAGGATACCGGGGACACTGAGAGACCCGGGGACACGGAGACATTTAGGGAAACTGGGAGAAATGGGGACAATGAGACACTAGGGACACAGACACTGGGAGACATGGGGACACTGAAACATTTGGGGACATAGACATGGGAACACAGACACTGGGAGACTAGGGGACACTGGGAGACTAGGGGACACTGGCTGGGAGACGAACACTTGGGGACACTGGGAGACATGGGGACAGTTGTGGACATAGACATGTGGACACTGGGACATATAGGGACACTGGGAGACATGGGGACACCAGGCATACTGAGACACTAGGAACACACTGGGAGACATGGAGACACTGAAACATTTGGGGGACACTAAAACACTAGGGACACAGACACTGGGAGACTAGGGGACACTGGGAGACACTGGGAGACTAGGGGACACTGGCTGGGAGACAGACACTTGGGGAGACATGGGGACAGTTGTGGACATAGACATGGGGACACTGGGACACATGAGGACACTAGGCACACTGAGAGACATGGGACACAGACACTGGGAGACTTGGGGTCACTGAGACACTAGGGACACTGGCTGGGGGACATAGTGTCTCCGTGTCCCAATGTCTCCCAATGTCCCTATGTCTCACAGCGTCCCCATGTCTCACAGCATCCCCATGTGTCTCAGCATCCCCATGTGTATGTGTCCCCTAGTGTCTCTGTGTCCCCTAGTGTCTCTGTGTCCCCTAGTGTCCCCAAATCTCCCAGTGTCTGTGTCCCCATGTGTCCTAGTGTCTCAGTGTCCCCTAGTGTCTGTGTCCCCTAGTGTCTGTGTCCCCTAGTGTCTCAGTGTCCCCATGTTTTCCAGTGTCCCCATGTTTTCCAGTGTCCCCATGTTTTCCAGTGTTCCCAGGTCTCCCAGTGTCTGTGTCCTAGTGTCTCAGTGTCCCCTAGTGTCTCAGTGTCACCATGTGTCCCCTAGTGTCTGTGTCCCCTAGTGTCTCAGTGTCCCCATGTGTCCCCTAGTGTCTCAGTGTCCCCTAGTGTCTGTGTCCCCTAGTGTCTCAGTGTCCCCTAGTGTCTGTGTCCCCATGTGTCCCCTAGTGTCTCAGTGTCCCCATGTGTCCCCGGGTGTCTCAGTGTCCCCATGTGTCCCTGCTGCCTTTCCCCTATCCCTCACTTACCTGAGCTGTAGAGATGCTGTTTGGACTCTCTGTGCTGTGTAGCTGCTCCTCCACAGAATCAGTGAGTAGTAGAGAGAGGCAGGGATATTCTGTAACTTCCTATCCCTGCCTCGCTCCACACACAGTGACCCCTCCTGGCCAGTGCTGGTATTGCAGAGTAATTTCCATTTATTCTGAGAAAATTACCTGCATTCGTATTGCTGGTATTACTGCAATACCAGCAGGGCCAGGCAGCCTCAAATACCATCTGTGCCATTAAAATACCAGTCGGGTGGCAAACCTAAGAGTAGTGTGTAAAAAAAAAAAAAAAAATTTTTTTTTTTAAAATGGGCCTATTCCATGGGCCTGGGCCTGGAGCTGCAGCTCCATCAGCCCCTATGTTAATCCGGCCCTGGGTATAGCTCATTGGAACCTAACCAATATTAAGTGGTATTGCACAGAGGACCCAATACCTGATGTGGAATGATAACAGGCATCTTGCCCATCCATTGTATTATTGTTATAAAGAGTGTGTGCAGGACCGGCCTTAGGGGTGTGCGAGCTGTGCGACCGCACAGGGCGCCATGGAACAGGGGGCGCCCTGTGGCCGACACAGCTCACTCATGGCCGGAGTGCAGGGGAGCTAAAAGAGGTACCTGGCTGGAGGATTAATTATTCTCCACCCGGGTCTATTTAAAAAAAAAAAAAAAAAAATCGCGGCAGAGGGGGCGGGGTTTACCGAGCGGCGGAGGCGGGGCTTATCGAGAGGCGGAGACGGGGCTAATACCTCCCGAAGCCCCTGCTGTACAGGAAGAGGGAAAGATGCTTCCCCATCAGCCAACTGCATCCACTGGAAAGAGGTAAGTGTGTGTGTGTGACTGTTTGCCTGTTTGTGTGACTGTCTGTCTGTGTGTGTGTGTGACTGTCTGTGTGACTGCCTGCCTGTGTGTGTGTGACTGTCTGTGTGACTGCCTGTCCTTGTGTGTGTGTGTGTGTGTGACTGTCTGTCTCTGTGTGTGTGTGTGACTGTCTCTGTGTGTGACTGCCTGCCTGTGTGTGACTGTCTGTGTGTGTGACTGTCTGTCTGTGTGACTGCCCATGTATGTGACTGCCTGTGTGTGTGACTGTCTGTCTGTGTGACTGCCCGTGTGTGTGACTGCCCGTGTGTGTGACTGCCTGTGTGTGTGAGACTGTCTGTCTGTGTGACTGTCTGTGTGTGTGACTGTCTGTCTGTGTGTGTGACTGCCTGTGTGTGTGACTGCCTGTATGTGACTGCCTGCCTGCCTGTGTGTGTCTGTCTGTAACTATCTGTCTGTGTGTGACTGCCTGCCTGTGTGTGTGACTTTCTATCTGTGTGACTGCCTGCCTGTGTGTGTATAACTGTCTATGTGTGTGTTACTGTGTGTCTGTCTGTGTGTGTGTGTGACTGCCTATGTGACTGTCTGTCTGTGTGTGTCGCTGTAGCTGTGCCATTGTTTGTGCCTGTGCCTGTATGTGTGACTGCCTTTAACTGAGTGTGTGTGTACATGCCTGTAACCGAGTTTAAATTTCCCCCACCCCTTCCTGTCAAGGCCGCACTTTGACTGACAGACGCTCACTCACTGACAGACGCACACTCACTGACGACACATACACACTCACTGGCGACACATACACACTCACTGGCGACACATACACACTCACTGACTGACACATACACACTCACTGACTGACACATATACACTCACTGACCAACACACACATTCACTCACAGACACACACACATTCACTTACAGACACACACAATTACACACTTACAGACACACACACACACACACACAATTACACACTTACAGACACACACACACACACACACATTCACTTCAAAATAAACACTCACAGACACACACACAGACATTTCCACTAACACTCACAAACTAATATTTTTTACATTTATTTTAAATCCACCCAGCCTCCCTGGGAAAGCTGGAGTGGATTTCTTACCAACAGTCCAGTGTGGCTGCTGGGCAGGCAGGCAGGGGGCGCACAGGCTGAGTAAGCAGCGCTTAGTGATGCCGGGAGCCGGACTGACGTCATATTCTGGCTCCCGGCTTCATTAAGCGGCGCAGAGGAAGCTGAGCAGGAAGAGCTCAGGTGAGTATGCTCCTTCGCTGCCCGCTGCCAGCCTTGGGGGGGCTCAAAAGTGGCCAGCCGGTCAGCTCTTGAGCCCCCCAGGATGCGAGGCAAGCAAGGGATCTGCCTGGGGGTTTGGAGGGATGCTTTTTTTTGCCGCCCCCTGCAAAGTGGCGCCCAAGGCAGATGCCTTGTTTGCCTCGTGATACACACGTCCCGGTGCCTGTGTGTGTTACTGTATTCAGGCAACTTGGTGGGAGGTGGGGGGGGCGCCGTGAAGACTTTTTGCACAGGGCGCCTAATTGCCTAAGGCCGGCCCTGAGTGTGTGTATTGATTATCTTTTTTATTCTGGATTTTTTTTCTCAATGTTTTCTTATTTGTAATAATAGAGGACGATGAGAACACATTAATATATAAAGTAAGATAGTTTTCCTTGTAAGAGACCAAAGTCTGGGCTAGAAAACCAGGTCAAACAACACCTGTTGACTTGCTTTTCAAGCTATAAATCTCCATCCTGTTCGGTTCTAACCAATTTTTATTTCTTTAACAAGTCGTCTTGAAATTGTAAACATTTTTGGAATGATAATGTGGTGAGACTAAAGCATTTGATGAAAAGGACCTTGGAGTTTTAGTTGCTGGATTCATTACCAAACACTTGGTAAACAATAGTTGTAGATGAAAAGGTAAATTGGGACAACTATGCCCACTTCTTCCTAAATACTAGACTTTTGGTTTCAATAGATTTTACCGTGGCAGTGTGCAGAAAATTTACTTGGGGAAGAGGTTGGTGGAATAACATTGGTGGTAAAACTATGAAACTTGAGGACTTTTCCAGTGACCAGGGCAGTAACTGTGTTATAGAGAAAAGTTAGAGCAGCACTGTCACACTGTACATTCATTTTCCGAATCGCTTCCTCTTCTCTCCTTCTTTTCTCCTCTGTCTTTCTTTTTTTCCATTTTCATCTATTTCTAACTAAAAACGTACTTCTTTGTCTAATGTATTTTTCATACGCCTGAATTTCTTAGATACTGGGTGGAACTACTGCTGTCTAGAAGTGTCAATCCACCCGGCCGTCACCAGTGATCCCACGGTCTTGCAGGATCATCCATAGACTTAAATGCTGTACTCTCGTGCATGTGTGAGTGTACAGCAGTGACGTTGGTTCCTGGTGCTGAATCGGCCGGAGGTGGAAGATGGCGCTGCCCACAAGGGACAGGTTCAGGTAAGCAGAATTTACATTTCCCTGCACCCCCCTGCAAAGCCCCCAGATGGTGACAGTGGCGCTTTAACAAGACTGGCCAAATACTTTCCCATTGGGGTGATGCAAAGTACTGCTCAGAAGACGTTTCATATTTTCCCACTACTTTTCAAGCTTGGACATGTAATTCTGAAACTACATTTTTTTATTGGCTGAGACATTATCTCTGGCAAAAGTAGATCTATTGTATAAATAGATTTGTGCTTGTAGAGTTTGGTGATGTTCATGTAAGTATCATACATCTAAACACCCCCACTAATTACTCTCCTCTGAACCTGCTGTATACGTGAGCTAGCCTCAATTTTGCATTAAAAAGCAGAATTTAGCCTAAAAGCATTTTCACTTTCTTGTGACATAATAAAAAAGCTGTGTTCCCAAAAATGGAAGGGAATCAGGTTTTTTTTTTTTGTTTGTTTTTTATAAATACTCGTAATCAGAGCAAAATGATATTTCTGCTTCTATGCTAATACAGTATTTCCTACTTTTGGACTTCGATTTAATGTTTTCCAAATGAATCCATACTGTTGGAAAAAATGATTTAGCTACAAAAATTTCCATAGACACTAATGTTGACTTCTGTAGATAAATCATTTGGAAAGCTTAATAAATTTATATCTTGGTCTAAAATAATATAAAATTCGAAATATTGTATAATCTCAATAACCTTTTGTCGCCATGTTCGAAAAAATTTATGAAACATTAAAAGCACTTTTAAGTCCAGCTCACTGATAGCTCTGGATATTGCAAGCACATTACTTTTTTCATCAAATATTCAACCAACCTACTATACTACACCGTTTTCTTTTGTGTGTATGTTTGGTTTCATATTCAGACATCCTTGAGGGTTTGTCTAGGTGCTGCTCAGTCCGTCTGTATGCGTCCATTCATTGACCAGGACAAGAGAGGCTCTAGTTTGGGTTCTTCCCGCTGCCTTCGCTACCCACGTCACAAACGCTAGAAACGTATCCCCCTGTTTTTCTACACATGTGTGTAAAAAACCCACTCTTTATATTTTATTATACGTGACAAAATTCCTAGAGTTTTTATCTTTGAACTTTGTTTTTCAAAGGTTTATTTCACTTTTAGAATATCAGAAGATAGTTGTTAAATCTTAGTCTCTGTGTTTAGCTTCTTGTTAACAGTAACTGATATTATATGATTAGGCTGTGTGGGCTCTGAATGTGAAAATATGCGCATTATTTAATATTATGAATATACCGCAGAAATTACATACTTATTCCTGGAAAAATTACCAATAGTCATAGGCTTCTTCTTGATTGCTTGACATTTCATACTGGTTTTTGTAATTAGGAAGAATAGTTCTATCAATATTCTGTAGAATTTAGTAAATGTAACAGTAAAAAAAATATTGCCTGCTCTCATTATTTTTCCTTTCTATTTCGTCCATGAAGGAGGTAGAGTTTGATTTGATTCTCTCAACAGACTCTTTTTTTTTTAATGTTTGTAACAAAATCCGAAATCGTTACAGTTGATGCTTTATTTCTCTTAAACCACACTAGAATTTACATGTAATCCACACAATGGATGGGATTCTAGCCTATTTCTGTGCTGAGATATTTATAATCGGAGAAGGATTAGGATCCCACAGGGCAATAGGAAAGTTACTAGTTTAGGGTCACCACTTCACATAGTGGTCATGAAGGTTGTAAAGCAAATTGATGGTTCTTGGTTCCCAGTCTAAACCCCTGGGCCCTATCCAGCCGCCTAAGGTCAGTATATGGTTAATCCTGCTCTGTTTATAATGGACTCGGTATCAAACTTTAACTAAAAGACAGGGATGTGGTACTGCACTCAATCCCCTCAGTGATAAGAATCTGGGTGCAACCAGGCTGGTCCCAGTACCAAGAGCCCAATTGCTTATTATAGAATAATGTAAAAAAGGTCTAGGCACTCCAGAGTACAAAAAAGGCAATTTATTTAACTCACAGCCAACTCACAGTGTTTCGACCGATACGGTCTTTGTCAAGCTATCAAATACATTCTCAGTCTTTCTCAGTCATGTTCATTAAACCTCTGATAGTCCACCAAAGGCTTGTGATGTTCACAAGAGCCAAAACAAGTTGGCGAAACGCGCATGGGGACTGTTATGTATGAGAGTGGCTCAAGACTTTTTGATCACACTTGTTAGCCACTTCTTACTTTGATTTTATCTAATTATCATTTACTAATTTCTATTTATTTCCTTTCTTCTCTATCGTCTTACTTTAGAAGTTCACAGATGAAGAACTAACCAATACCAGTTAAAAAAGAGGAGCACTAAAAGTCTGTATTGGACTTTTCTCATTTGATCTGTGAATGAAATCAAAATTTAGTGGCTGTCCCCTAAACATAGATCATCTTATTTTTTATTTTCGGTGCTGTGGAGGTCATTCTGAATCAGGAAACAAACGAAAAACAGCTTTTTCATTGCCCGTAAATTGCTTTGAGATTCGTAGTTGCAAAGTTTGGATGAATTGTAGATCACCAAAGTTTTAGACAAACTATGTTTTGTTTGAAACCACTTGAGAATGAAGTCTAATCATTAGCAAAGACGGCCAGTGCAGTGGACTCACCAGCAGGTGTCACTACTCAGAAAGAGAAGCACCTTACATCTAAACTATGCATTGTATGTCACTTTTAAACATCACACTTTGTTTTAAATAATACAATTAAAATTTTGCAATTGTATAATATAAGTGATATATAATATAAGTTCATTAAAATTAAAAACTATTTAATGTGTATAGATCTATTTATAAATTAATAGAAAGCTGAACCTGCGCGGTGGGTGGGGGCCCTAAATAACAATAAGGGGGGGACCTAATGTCCTCCCCCTCACCCCCACCCATGTGTGGTGGGTGGGGGCCCTAAATAACAATAGGGGGGGACCTAATGTCCTCCCCCCGGCCCTCCACCCCTGCGCGGCGGGTGGGGGCCCTAAA